GCGTTCGCCATCGGCTGCCCGTCGGGGCCCCTGGCGACGATCTTCACCGTGCTCCGGCGGGCCTTGTTGGCGGACTGGCGAGCGTGGGCGTTCCATTCCTCGAAAGAGAAGGGCTGCAGGGAGACGCTGTCCACCCAGATGTCCACCGGAGCGTCACTCTCGAAGAAGACCTCGCCTTGCCCGTAGTGATAGGCGCGCGCGGTCATGCCGCCCTTGAGCATGGTCCAGCAGCCGGACTGGGCGTCGATGGCGCCGGCGGTGATGTTCTCGCCGTTGGGGGCCTTGACCACCGCACGCACGTGGGCCGTGCCGGCCGACACCCGCAGCCATGCTGCACACGCGGAACACCAAGATGAACTTGGTCACATGCACTGCATCATGCACACCTACGTACGTTACGTACATTCGGTATGGAATGTATATATATACCTGATAGCGAGTAGTGAGTGTCGCCCTTCATCTGAATTTTCTGGTAGACGCTGTGGGACGGCGAGGCGGCCACGGCGCCGGTGCCCAACGGGGAGCTGCTCGCGCCCTGCACCACGGCGAACTTGTTGCCGGAGGCCGACTTTCTGACGCCGGCCTTGATGTCCCGGCGCGTCGACCACCCCATCAGGCCGTTGTTGAACTCGCCGTTCTGGATGATGCCGCCTTTGTAGAGGGGCTTCATCGGATCACCCAGGCACTGAAACCACAACGACATGCTTGTAAACGAATTATGAAAACTGATGGTTGTTTCTTTGTCACACAACAATATCGATCTAACTATAGTTTTCGTTTTTGGAGGCTGCATGCATGCATGCACAGATCAAGATCGAGACAAACAACACCAGAAAGACTCAACAGGAACGCCGTGACTTGCCTCGATACTAGCCGTATGATCATATTCCACAGACTGGACAATGCACCCTGCATCAACACAGACACACGTCAGCGAGGTGACCGTGCGTTTCATGCCCATATTCACGTTAATTAACGTACGGGCACATAAAATTAATCACCATCAAGGCATCAACTGACCTTGGAGCAGCGAGATCCATAGCAAAGAGAGCACCAGTTTCTCGACGAAATTCCTCATTGTCACTCCCTCTCAGTTACTCGTACTGACTGAGATGCGTTAGTGAATGGACAGATGGAGGTAAATATCCCACATATATAAGCACGCACTGCAGAGTAACCGGTGAATTTGTCAGTTTCACTTGACTCGGCACTACTCAGCGACAGATACGGTGTAACGAAGAGGCAGTTCAGAATGTGCGGATGCCATATCAAGTTCCCAAAGAGTGTTACAGACTGTGTCCTCGTTGCATGCGTCGCCCCAGCCACTCGTGTTGGAGCTCCTCCAGCAGAGCTGTCGTGTGTGGATAATCACCGTAAATAACCGCCGGTGTAATATTTTGACCCCCAAAATCAATCGAGCAGAGTCGTTACGAGCTCCATCGTCATGTTTTTGGAGATCACTCTAAACCGAGCCTGCACGCCTCCATATTTGAAGGGTGTTTTTGGAGCACACTTCATCCTGAAAAAGGTTTGGCCCGACCGACATTTCCCCACTCTTCTTTCATCGTGTGACGCCTCCTCCCTCCCTCGTCATAGCGTCGTCTTTAGCACCCGCAGTCCCCGCCGACAACACCATGGACTCTATCCCGACTCCCATGTCACATTCCTCTGGTTTGAAGCCGGTTCCCGCGACTTCCCTGCCTACACATCACCTCCCGCTCTCCGCTGGCCCAACATTAGTGCAGAAATGCCACCAGACTGACTTCATAAGTGATGCGTCAATTTCAATCCATGTCAATGCGATTTTTTTCGAAATAGTGATGGTGTGGGTATATTTGGTAGGTTACTGGTGGCGTGGCTGCATTTTCACACGACACAAGTGTGTGACACCAAGTGTCCGGCACAAGTTAATGGTGACGAGGCACAAGTCTGCACGCCACTGGTATTGTCACTAGTGCTGACGTGTGCCTTCTCCACATGCGTTGCAACGTGTCCCATCGAAGAACCGGGGTAAGAAGGCGGCTGCGACGGGCAGCATCCCTTCCGCTCACCCCTTCGTCTTGGTGGCGGGTGAAACTCAGATGTCTACCCAACTCCAATACATTCATAGATTTTCCTAGTTGGTAAAGAAAACCTCTTACCTGTCTTTTCTTTCGATAGGTTCATTTGAATGTAGTTTGGCAGTGAAATAATGGTGGATCTTTGTGTGTAGTGATGCTTTTGTGCATTTGGGAGCACGGTCAAGAACAAATCATTCTTAAATAGTATGGTGGATGATTTGGTTGTGGCCAATGATCTTGATCTTGTTGGTGAGTCGGTCCTGCAGTTTGAGCAATTGAATGAGGAGGACAAATATGACGAATTGGATCAATCTCATTTCTCCGGTTCTTCGAGGAAGAAAGGAATTCAGATCGTAAACTACACCAGGAGTGAGGATGCTGCTCCTTTGAGGGCATGGCAGGATATTACTCTCGATGCGATCCATCAGAAAGATCAAACGAGTGCATACTATTGGAGGCGCATCGAGTAGGGTTCCATCATAACCTTGGCTTAAATCCAACCAAACTCTTTAATTCAAGAGATGTGCAACCATTGGGATGGTTATTTGGAACAAGTGAGGAACCCTCCTAGAGGTGTCACCAGTGACCAATATAAGAACACTCCTGTTATTTTTTAGAAAAAAGTATACTTTTCATCCCTCAATTCTTCGTGAAGTCTAGATTTGGTCCCTTAACTCCAAAACCGGACAACTTGCACCCTTAACTACTGAAACCGGACAAGATTCATCCCTGGTCACGGTTTTGACCAGTTTTGGTGTTGTCACGCCTCGGTTTTGACCGTGCCGACTCAAATCCGCGTACATTTTCTAATTCCGCTTAATGTTTTCAAATTCGGGTACTTTTTCAAATACGTGAACTTTTAAAAAAATTGTGTACTTTTTCCAAATCCGCGTACTTTTTCAAGTACACATATTTTTTTAATCCACGTACTTTTTTAAAGTTCATGTGGTTTTTTCAAATTCATGTAATTTTTTAAAATTGACGTACTTATTCATATTCGCGTACATTTTTTTGGATTTGAAAATTTTATGCGAACTTGAAAACGTATGCGGATTTGAATTTCTTTCACGCAAAATAGAAAAAAATGTGTGGAGTTGAAAAATTATGTCAACTTGAAACAACTATCTGAATTTCAAACAAAGTTCATGGATTGGAAAAGGAACATGGATTAAAAAACTACACCAACTTTACAAAGTATGCGGATTTGAAACAAGTACGTGAATTTCAAAAACACTTCATAGATTTGAAAAAAAAAACTTGGATTTGATAAAATTACACGAACTTGAAAAAATACACTGATTTGAAAAAAGTACACAAATTTCAAAAAGTTCATGGATATGAAAAAATTAGACGAATTTGAGTCAGCACCGGTCAAAACCGGGGTCAGTCAGCACTAAAACCGGTCAAAATCGAGAGCAGGGACGAACCTTGTCCGGTTTCGTTAGTTGGGGGTGCAAGTTGTTCGGTTTCGGAGTTGAGGGACCAAATCTAGACTTCACCCAAAGTTGAGGGACGAAAAGTATACTTTTCTCTATTTTTTATTATTGTAACCTTAAGCATTTTCAATATTGCTCCTCCACATTGTTGGAGAGTACTCGATGTCAATGAGAAGTGAAAAATGAGGAATGAGGAGGCTCCTTCAAAACATGAGAGGTCGTGAAACATTTCCTCTTTGGTATTGGGTGACAGCGAGGAAGATGATGGTGATGGAGAGGATAGGGTGGCTAGAAGTCCCACACCGGTGTCTAGCGTGGAGTGGCATGACGGAAAGGAAGTGGTCAAAGAAGATGCCCAAGAAACAAGGAGAGGTGCAGGTGTTAAAAAATAAGATTGATGAGTTGATCAATTAAAGGAATCAGTACATGGAGAGGAGGAAACAAGAAAAGTTGGAGATAGAGAAGAGTAAGCTTCAAAAGAAGAGGCCAAGGTTGAAAGCTATGCATGAAACTGTAAGCCCATGGAAGAAATGATGGCACGTAGGCTTCAACTTGAGGAGAATCATTTTGTTTTTGCAAGAGTAGAATCGGTTGATGCAAGAGAAGGTGTATGAGGAAAACCGGTTGATGATGTTTGATCCCACTACCATGAATCCAACATCAAGATCATTTTTGTAGGTAATACAAGTGGCGATCATGCGTTTTAGGACGACATGGAGCGCCCAACATACTTGAGGAGGAGCAGACGACATGTGATTTGTATATATCGGTTGAATGTATGCATGATGCTTTGTCTCTTTTTTCATGCAGCTTAGTTGCTTACGGAATAATACAAAACGTTCCACCCAAATCAAAATGTGTGAACAAAAAGATCGTTTCATCGAAACATGTGAACGAAAGAAGAAAATGAGATATGACGACTATGTGCTTGTGCGCCTTGGCCACAGTGCCGGCCGGCGATGGACACGCAGCAGCACAGTGAAGCAACAGAATTGCCTACACCGATATTTGGGTGGGCCAGTTCAACAACCTGAGCAACTCAACTGAAACCGGAACAGAGAAACAGAAGGGTCATATAATACAGGAACAAAACTTGGCACATAACAGAATGCTAACAATTGGCCGAAACTGAACCAAGGTGCCTGCCATGTAAACTGGAGAAGCATCCATTCATCTATTCCAACAGAACAGAACCCATGTCCATGTGATGATAACAGCAGGAATTCGTAACTAGCATCCCTTAAGCACGGCATCACCATCAAGAGTATTTAGGGGATCATCAACAGAACCCATGATGCAACAGGAATCCATATTACTATTCAGCTAGAGTACGCATTTAGGGTGTTTAAAACCCAGCAGCAGCAGCAGGAACTTAAAAGGTACTACGGGTAACCAGAAGCTACTATGGTATCAATCAAGAAGCTAATATAAGGAGACGGTAGGGTAAATTCAGCTGGTGCGTGTCACTTGGGTATCCCTTTCTCTTGCTGGCCAGTGCAGTGCTTCATGGGTCCCTGGGTTTCAGCTTCTTCTTGGTCCTCGTCTGAAAATATAGCGTGTTGAAACAGAGTTAAGTTGGCAGCTACAAGTGATTCAAATCTCTAGGAGTGGGTTATCAATCCATTGCACACACTGCTGCGGAATCGGGAGATCGACGATCGATTCAGCACAGTAGAATATGGAGAGCAGTACACAGCACAAATATAACTGAAGAAGACATGATAACATATACAGAGCTGTACTAGTTACCTCTGTCAGCGTCAGATTGATGCAAAACACAAGTGAGCTGACTTGGCACATTGACTTTTTGAAACAAACATCATTGAATTCTGTGTGTTAAGGATAAATACTTAGAGAAGGTGTTTGATGCTACAATAACTGAAGCCACATAGCACAGGACAGTATTATGGTGACCAAGGCCAAGAGATATTAACAATGATAGCGTCATATTGTCTAGAATGATACACACTGTAGTATAGTTAGCTCCATTATGTGTCTAAAATGGTACAGTAGTACTACCTTAGAATAACTGCACCATGAATAAATATGGATGATGAAAAACAGAATATGCTCGATGCTATATGGTGACTTAAGGCATGACAAAACGAAGAACATGCATGGACAGTATCCATCAGGTCAAATAAACAAGTGAGTCCAACAAATAGGATTAAAGTTGGCATCTACTGTACAAGTAATTGAAATCTCTACGAGCGGGGTATCACTCAATTGCACACACTGCTGCAGAATCGGGAGGTCGATGATTCAGCAGAGCAGAAAATGAAGAGCAGTTCACAGCACAAATATAACTTAAGGAGGCATAACATAAACAAAGCTGTAGTAGTAAGCGCCCTTAGCATCTAGAATTCTAGATTGATGCAAAACACTAGTGATCTAACTTGGCATATTTACTCTGAAACAGGCATCATGAGATTGCTTATATTGACATACACACAAGGTGTTTGATGCTACAATGAGTCAATGACTAGAGCCAAATAGCATGGACAGGACTATATTTATGGTGACTTAAGGCCAAAAACATGAACGACGATAGCATAGTAAGCTCCATATTACTTCTAAATTGATACATAAGTGCCTTCCAATAACTCTGAAACAAGCATCATAACAAAACACCGTGATGAAAAACACAATATGTTCGACACACTATGTATATATGCTGACTGAGGTATGACGAAACCAAGAACAAGCATGGACAGCATGTATAAAGGACACTAAGGCCAAGCATGAAAGGTGATAGCACAATAATCGATCGCAGTTAAGGCTCACCTCGTTGCAGTGGCCACATTTCTTCTTGCGGCAGTTGGCAGACCTGAGGGGAAGGCGTGCATAGCACCTGCAAAACAAAATTGCTGTGATGTTAGGGCATGTCTACATTGTCATTGCAGTGATTGCACACAAAATTGCTTCTCAACGATTATCTTCTTATGCAAAATATGACAAGGAAATGTTTAAGAGTGGTCATATGCCACTGCTAATTAGTTGGCAACTACAACAAACAAGCACATCAGAGATAGCTCATAGCAACCACACCTTCAAACAGCACATGCATGAACTTGACCAGACGAGGGGGAGGCATCGATTCAGGGACTTACTTGCGGCAGATGAGCTTACGCTGCCTGTACTTGAGGGCGAGCTGAAGGAGGTTGGGCTCGATTGGTGGGTAGGTTCCCCCCTTGCCGGTGCCGCCCCTGCCGCCGTGGAGGCGGAGCACGAGGTGAAGCGTGGACTCCTTCTGGATGTTGTAGTCCGCCAGCGTGTGGCCTTCTTCCAGCTGCTTCCCTGCGAAGATGAGGCGCTGCTGATCCGGCGGCACACCTGCAGTTAATTACAGCAGTCCATCAGGCGGGAGACCAGTAATTAGAGAACGACCAACACTAATTTAAGATCAACAGCAGTTAGATTTGGTATCCAAATCGAGAGTTCAAATTTGAAATGCGTCGTCGCTAGCAGGTTGCTGAAGAAAGCAGACGGTCCCATCACTTATTAGGAAACTCATAAACGCAAGCCGATCTAACTCTACCCGCGGGACTCGTCTCGGGTCATGTCTATTGATGTGAAGCTAGCTTGAGTACTTAACGCGACGGATCGCCCAGATCGCGCGCTCTGCTCTGTTCCCAACCAATATGAACAGCGACAGGAAGCAAGCACTACTCGGCAATCTACCAATCGAACACGCAAAAACGCAGAGAAATGTTCCTAGCATCGCCTGGATTTGATGCGCGGAAGGGTAAACCGAAAACGAAGAGTAAAACAAGCGCCTCCACAGGCCGATCGGAACAAACAGACGCAAGGGAGAGGGCATCCCGACGGCGAGCAAGCGACTGGAGCAAACGCAGAGTAATGTTTCGAGCTAGCATCTCTCGGATTCGATCGGAAACAGGCATGTGTAAACAGAAAACGAGGATTGAAACAAGCGCCTCCAATTCCGAGGTCCGACCGACACTAGAACAGGAGCGCAACAGATGCAAGCAACAGGGCCGCCGGGCGGCGAGCAGAAGGGGCAAAGGGTCGTAGGCGAGCGCGCACACCAATGCGGCACAGAGATGAGAGGCGGGGAGATGTTTCGCTACCTTCCTTGTCGTGGATCCTGGCCTTGACGTCGGCGATGTCGTGGCCGCCCTCGACCTCGAGCGTGATCGTCTTCCCCGACGGCGTCTTGACGAAGATCTGCATCTTCGCGGGTCGCCGGAGTGCAGCGTGGGTGGCGGTGGCGGTGGTGTGTGGTGGTGTGGAGTTGGATGGACAGCGCCGCGGACTTGGCGCACCTTATATAGAGCGGAGCGGAGCGTGTGAGGGGGAGGGAGGGGGGCTTGGACTTGAGTTGACGCGTCCGCTACGAAACCCTCGGAGCCCGAAGCGTGGATGGATAGGCCCGAATGGAGTGCGAGTGTGGAATCGCTAAGCCCTGCAGGGCCCGGCCCGGCCCGGGGATTTTGGTCACTGACTGGTGGACCGTACCGGTGGTGCCGTGCCGAGAAAGTTCGATGGTTTCACTCTCTGGGAAAGGTTGTTTTCTTTAAAAAAAATTGACAAAGGATGGATTTTATTAACTTAATATGAAACATCAAGAAGATACAAATACAAAGAGCATATACCTGGTCTCTGCATAGCTAAGATACACACAGTCAACATAAACGCACGCAGACAAAAATCACACCAACAACTAGTAAAGTCATACGACCGAAGCTATGCCAAAGCGGATAGAAAACAAAAAGAAAGTGAAAAAAGCAATGATAATCCACGCTGAGCAGGTGTTGATCCAAAAGAAGATGGTGCAAGCGCACGTGATCTGAACGTGGACACAGCCACGCAAACTAAACGCGCACGCACTATGAAAGCGGCTTGCCAAAGACCATCCGCGGAACCAGAACCTCCGTCGATGTTCAAGTGACATCGGTCACAGCTCAAATGGCAAGAGATGGTACCGCCAAAATCTCATGGAGACGCTCCGGCGATCCCATGCTTCCGACGCAAGTGTTTGTCAATGGTAAATCTTAGCATCATCATGGGCCTCAGACAATACACCACGAGCCTACATTGCACCGCCTTGGCTGCAACAAGCCGTCAATATCATCGAACATGATTTGGCTATCTGTACCGCTATCACATCCCTCGACTACCACTATGCATCATGTTCGCAAGGTCACACTGCAGCAACGGATCATCCCTGCTTGACGGCACAAAAGCAACCGGCAAACCACCAACAGCCACTAGTCTCGCTAGCTAGGCCCAACTCCAAGATGATACCCCCAACGGGGAACACGACCCCAAGTGCCGCCATCATCCGATCCGGGCGAACCCGGACCTAGGGTTTCCCCTCAAGTGTTCTGGGAGGGAAGTCGAAGATTACATGTCGACGCCTTCATCAAGGTAGCGACGCCCATAGGCGCCGTCGTCGTTCACTTTGACCGTAGTCAAAGTCTGGCTTTCGCCCGCAATCTCCATCTCCTCCAGAAAAATGAGCCTAGCTGCTCCACCACATCCACCTTCTTCACCACAGGACCACCATGGCCGGAGGACTAGATCCTTCTAAGCCGGAAAGTCCCGAGGCAGGCTGATGAGATATGAATCAGATCAGGGAACCGCACCGCCTGAAAAAGACGCCAGGCCAGATCGTCGGAGCGTCGTCCCCTTGTGCACGCCATCCAGCCACTGCCATGCATCTGGGCCTCCCAGCGTCGATGCCATGCCGCCGCCCGTCGATGAGCGCCGCAGCCCCACTACCCTCTCCCGCAGATCCGGCCAAGGCATCTCGTGGCCAGCCGCCACACGGATCAGCCGAGGCATCCGATGGGTTGCCGCCAATGAGATCCAGGCCCAAGGAGAGAGGTCGACTCAGGGAAGCGCCCCGCCGCTGCCGTCCCCGGACCTGCCCGGGCTTCGCCTGCAGGGCCTCAGGCGGCGGCAAGACGAGAAGGAGGGAGAGGGAGTCCGGCAGCGACGCGATTGGATCTCCCCCAAGTCGCCAGAGAAGGAGGGGGTGTTTTCTTTATTACCTAGGTAAAAGATGGGCGGCTTTTTCATTACTTCCTCCGTACCTTCATATAAGTCATTTTTTAACACCGTGACAGTGTAATTAACAGCAGCAAGTTCGTTCAAATGATATTTCAGATCAGATCCGGGACATCATTAATCCCACACGGCATCAACAGAGTGCCTTGCCCTACTAGCGAGAACATCAGCCACCAGATTACATGATGTAGACTGATGAGTAAAAACAACGGAGTTTTATTATTTATGTCACTAGTTGTGTCTCACTACTCAATTTTACCAATAAAAATTACAACTACCAAAAATATCATCCTTCCGTGGGTTGCTTGCGCAAAAATGACATAAGATATCTAAAAACTAGCATCGTTTCATTAGATGGTTGCTCAAAAATGTCATTAGACATCGTTATTGCTAGATCAAAGCCGTTGACCATGTTATATGACAAAAATACCCATAGACCCACATGGTAGTTCTCTCTATCTCGTAAGATAAATGTGCCCCCCACAAGTCATGACTAAGGGCTTGTTCGGAGACTCGCTAGCTTCTTCAAAACTTCTCGTATCCAACTTCTAACTTGACAATTTTCTGCACATATTCTTGTGGGAGCGGCGGCCTTATGCTGGGCAATGTGGCTTACCAGTAATGTTGTGATTTGTAACAATAAATGTGTCTCATCTCCTATGCAGGTTATTCATATTTGTATACGATGGCTCCGTACGTGGTCTATCCAGCAGAAGCCGAAGGACAGTGACCTTTTTATGATGGTGTCTATGTGGCTGGAGCGTACGGCCAGGGAGGTTTTCTACCCCATGGATGGCGGTGTGATTTACGGATAGGATCTACCGCTCCTTAGGCTAGACATGATTTATTGCTTGGCTTTGTATCGAATTATTTTATTTTTAGGGTGCTTTGAACGTTATTGCTGTGTGCATCTAGCTATGCAGAGGCCGGACTTTCTTTCAATACGATTGTATCACCTCAATATATCTATTTACTAAAAAGTCCTTTATCAAAAAAACTTTTAACTTGACAAAATTGAGTAGTGGGACATAACTAGTGACATCACCGTCACGATATTTTACAGAAAAGTTTCTTATATTTAAAAAAACAACCCGCAGCACATCTTTGTTTTTCTGTCCGGCAGCCGCCGCACAGGGATAACTGTTGACTGGGCCGGCCCGCTGTCACGTGAAAACAGTCAAACAATTTCATTGGAAAAAACACCTGAGCAAGGGATCAAACCCTGGACCTCAACTCGTCAGCGCTCCTCAATCGCCAGATGAGCTGTTGAACTTCAACGTTTAATTACAGGTTATAAGAACCATATGACATGACGAGATCTAAATAGTGAAAATTTCACCGAAAAAGAAATACGCTCGTGCAAGGGGATCGAACCCTTCACTGCAGATTTGTGAGTGCTCGACGTTCACCACAATACCTGATGACCTTAGTTGTGTACATAAATTGAACTAAAAAATTAGTACATACCATTGCTGCACTGCTGGGCCTACTCAGCATAAAGTCACCGCAATGATGGGCCTTCTTTTATTCACTAGTAAGCATGCACGTGCAACGCACGTCTAAATCAAAAGCAACCTATAAAATTCATGTGGGTATTATTCTTAATTCATATTGAAACTAATTAACTTCCATGTTACGGAAGCTCTTCTGGGTGAAATGAAGCTTACTGTATACTATTCTCTTCATTTAAAAATATAAGATGTTTGTATATTTCAATATAGACTATACAAACTAAAATGAGTGAACAAACACAATAAAACGTGTCTATATACATTCAATCCGTACAAAAGTTAGAATATCTTGTATTTGTGAATGGAGGGAGTGCTAATCGTGTACGTATGTTGTCTTGATCAACGCATTCTGAATTCATATTCCAAAAATTTGGTGAGGGGTGGCGGTGGGGGTAGAATATATGTAGTGTCTGATGATCCCCATGTCTCATGAGGTTTAATACAAACCCCATGACTTATCTATTGATGATGTCATGTAAAGTGCTAGTAGACAAGGAAATCCCAAACCAAGAAATCATAGTCAGATAGTAAAGTATGCAACATATCTAATTTCTTGTGTGAACTTGAAAGGACATATAATAGGTATAGTCATTGTCCAAGTGAACATGATAGAGATGCAAACTTTGATTAAAGATACTAAAAGAGGTGCATATAATTTGTTCTCTCCTAGGTTCAGCCTACATGTTATCTTCATAAGTTGAATTGCTGGACTCGAATACAAAGGGAGTCGGTGAGATAGAAGAGTTCGCCAGTGGTCAAGACCATTTTGCCCCCATCCCGAGTTTCTCGCATCACCTGTAGTGCGGCATTTGTGACCAAAAATGAAGGGAATTTAACATTTCTACATGACATACATGGTATTCAAAATTAGTTATGTGAAGATTAAACACAAATTAAACTTGTTATATCAACATCTCAACTGTAGAGGACTGTTGATGGGCATATCTTTCCCCGATTGACAGGTTTGAATTGTTGTCGGTGATAGGACCAAATGCACGGGCAAATTCATGTAAAAATGTAAGTAAAATGAGAGAAAAACAGACTCACCTGATTGAGCAACGCGCGACCAAGAATACAATTGCAAACATGGTGCTAGGACCGTGGGGGCAAGAGTACGTTACTCTATTCAGTATGAAAATACATTAGACATGCATACAATAAACAAGGCTCTGTCATAGTTCTTCACAAGTACATATTGCATACATAAGTTGAAGGGGTTTCTTAAAGAAAAGCAGCATGCTGTACTTCGTCACTCCTGAGTGGCAAGCACGTTGTTGAAGTAGGATAATCACAATCAACATCCTTGAACGAGCTATCATTGGCTTCAAGTACAACTTGTACAAAGTTTGTTAATTTGTCTAGCTTTTTGCCTGAATCATGGGTGCTCTCAATACACGCACCTCTGAAAAATAGAGAGCACCCATATAAGCTTAAATTGCTTGGCTGTGGTAGGATATTAAAAAACAGACTTGTTCCTTGTTGTTATAGAAATGCATGGCATGAGCTGCAGTTATTTTATATCTTCTATTTTGGATTGCCGGGGTTCATGTTTCCATCCAACCCGCATTAGCAAAATATGTAGGCCTTATCGGTATAGTGGACAACTCTAGAGCTAATGGAAGTGCATAACCTCCATACATCTGCATCAGG